CTATGCTCTGTCCTAAGGGGACGTTGCACTCTTATGTTATCTTATGGTCTCCTTCTGCAGTTCTTCCCAGAAGGAAATAGCCTCTTGGGAGAATAAATGTACCTTCAAAATGTTGGCCCATGGAAAAAAATTGATTTATCTCCCTGAATATATTTCTATCATCCTTCACCCATTAAGTGAACTGGGAAGCCCAAGCTGGTCTTGCTAAGGTTCTGTTTCTATATTCCTGACTAAATCAGTAGTGGTAAGCTAAAAAGGCAGCCTTCTGTCCAGATATAGTAGAGTCTTACGGAAATTATGCAATGCCACCCACTACCTCAGATTGCTTCATTTCCTCTTGACATTTATTGAACTCAAAAATGAAATAAAAGGGGGGATGTCAGGGCATTTGCCATGTTCCCTGCTCCCCTGTGCTTGAAGCCTCCTGGGTTAGCTACTTAACATGGAAGGCCAGGTAGGTTGGCGGAGGAAGGGGCTCTTCCTTATCTGGCTTTTGACTAACAGCAGGGACTTGGGGGAACTTGGAGGAGACAAATGGAGTAGAACAATGTAGATATTCTTGGAAAAAAGATTGGAAGGGACATATAGGTGAGAGATAGATGGGGAGGCTGACAATGGCAGTTACTATCTTGATTTGTATTCTTATGTCTCTCCTTTTGTCCCAGAACTGCCATGTGCTCTTTTGCCTTCTTCCTGTGGTTCCTTGCCAGAAGGTAACTTAGACCTGTGTCAAACTTTCAGGCCTCAGCAGCCCCACTTCAGGCCAACCCTGTTTGGCTACACACTTGCCCAGGAGGGATGGGTGATTTTGGGGTGTTTTATTGGGAAATTATTATTAGGAATATCCTCACTTCCCTTTCTATGCACACTAACTCTATTAATGATCTATCACACTATGAGTTTGCTTCATTTGTCTTTATGCAATGGATGGCAGGACCCCATTGTGCCACCTGTTGGGATTGGGGTTCCCTGGGTATCCCTTGGTCACACACTAGCATCATATTTAGACCAAAGATGTAAACTTTTGGGTTTGATGTCAGGGAGATGAGTTCCAAAGTGCCATTAAGAGATTTGGTACTGAAAGTGACTGATGTGTACAACGCCAAAGATAATGACTAAGTTGGGATGTTATGGAGATGGGAGCAGAGGTGGAGAGAGAGAGAAGAAGAAGGAGCAGAAGGAGAAAGAGGAAGTGGGGTGGAGAAAAGAGAGAAAAAACAGAGATAAACTCCAAGGTGAATAGCAGGCCTGCTTTCTCCTGACCCCTCGCTTTGATTTTTAGGTGACTTCCCTCCTGCTGTGTCCTCACATGGTCTTTTCTCTGTGCATTTGCACCCCTGGTATCTTTTTAATTTTCTTACAATAATAAAAGGAAAAAATATATACAACTCTGGCAGCAATCTCAGCATTTACTAGGAAAAAAAGAGTAAACAGAGGCTGAAGAATGAGGAGGGCCTGGGGGCAAAACTGGATGAGAGGTGAGAGTAGCCTGAAGTAAAACAGTGATGGGGGGAGGTGGGTGCTGAGACATCACCCCAGAGCTGTAGGCAGCAGAGCCCTCTGGGCACAAGGAGCAGGGGTATAGACACTCATGTGCACACTGGTGGCCATCACTCGAGGAAGGCAGAAGGAGAAACAAATAACTTAAAAGCACAGAAAGACCCAATAAATCAATGCATCGATGCTAACTAAAGGTCAAGGAAGGAAGACCTGATGTGAACAGAAGCAGCTGCAGAGTTCAGTTTCTAGCTGGGGGTAGGCCAGGCTAGAAGCATGAAGGACAGAGGAGGAGCAGCAGCATTTGTAGAACCAATGAAACACTTTGGACAGTGGGCTAGCAAGGTACTCTGTGATTTTTAGGTCAGTTATTGACACTACCTATTAGTCAGGCTTGTAGAAAGAGCCTCGTAAGTCCGTTTGAGGCAAAACAAGTCTTCTGGTTTCAAAACTCAGTTAGTGCATAAGGTTTGCAGGAGTGGGAGAGCAGGAGATATGCCCAGGGGATTCATTAAAATCTTGTTTCCTGGCGGTCATGTCAGCTGAGAGGATAGGGCCATGGTGCCTCCCCAAGGAAAGGGTCCCAGCTCACTGCTGCCCCAGAGGCAGAGGCTGGGCATCACAGTGTCTCCTTGGGGTACCTCCTTTCACACCTTTTAACCCAAACTTCTGCTTTGCTTTTCTTTGATCATGGACCCAAGCAGGATAGGAACACTGAATATCTGAGTACCTGGACTCAGAAACTCAGATCCATACTAAGTTGTGAGGGCTTTCTCGCAAGGTGAGTGGACAAGGGAAGATAGTGGAGACTTAATTCCCTGGGTCTCCCAGATCCTACCCAAGGTTCTCAGCTGCCTGTCTGTGTCCTTCTTTAACCCCAGAAAGGACCTGCAATGCCAGAGATTGGAGGAGTGCTGACCTCTGATGTCAGACACAGCCAGAACCCTGCTACAGCCCACCCTGCGAGGGAACAACCTCCTCTTCCTTCATCTTCCTGAACATCATCACTCTGCAAATGAATTACAGGGTGGGAGGTATGGTCTGGCAGCTACTGACATGTGCCTTCCCATCTGAGATAAGGTCTGTCTCTGCTTCAAGGAGTTTTCTGGAATCTGAAAATCTTTAGAAATTGGGTCAAGACCTTACTGCTCTGCTTCTCAGATTCTCTAGTCTCCCAGGCTTTATGGTATGTCCCCTCCTTCCACACTCAGGCACCCTGAACATGGACAAACCTACAATCCCACTCAGATTGTTTTAGCCAATGACCATGCCTGGGTTCCTGGACTCCCTGGCGCTAGCACCCTGGTAAGGTCTCAGTATTTAGCTTTGGACCTGGATTATCCTGGCCTTCATAACCTGGGGTGTGTTCCTAACAGAGCAGTACCTCAAAAAGGGTCATTTACAATCAGTTGAACTGCCTCTTCTCCACATGCCTGCTTGACATTAAAGTCCAAAGTCACAGAAAAAGCCAATGAAGTCAACAAAAACATTTAAAATATACTAAACAACGATGCAGAGAAACAGTATAATTAGGCTTCAAAATTTATAGCTCTATTTTGTTCATTGGCTCTGTCTGGTCATTTTCTGGAAGTACAGTGCCCCTCTGTCAGCCTTAGTCTCTGAGGGCACCTCTTGGTCTGAGAGCCCTGTCACCAGCAATTTTCAGAAAGAGGGTTCTTCTTCTTTTTTTTTTAATTTATATAAGCACTGGGTACAGTCAGAAGTGCGGGAGGGTAAGAGAATTCACCAGAGCCAGAGTGGGGAACAGAACAGGCAGACTGATGAAATACACTGCTGAGGGGAGCAGCGGGTGCAGCAGGAGAGGTCTGCGCGCCATGGGGACCCTCGCCTGTGGCCGGGGATCCGAACCGGCGCTGCAGAGCTTCGCAGCCCAGAGCTCAACCGCTGCGCCACCAGGGGAGGCCCAAGAGGGCTCTTATTCTGTAGCTCTAATGTACATGTCTTTTTGTTGTCAATAGACAAAGAAGGTTGGTCATGTCAGCTAATCAATATTTCAAAGTTCAAACCTTATGTTTTGGTTTTGTGAGGCAAGGGAAAGATCTTAGACTCAAGGAATGATGAGACACCACTTTATGGAGGATGTTTTTCTACCTGGCTTCTTGCCCAGATTTACTTCATTTTCACAGAAGCGCAAGGAGAATGTTCCTCTACTCTGTTTCAGGATTCCAACCTCAAAACGCTATTTCCTCTCTTTGTTATTGTACCTGACCACTTTTTCTTAGCTACCTCCGTTTCTCCTTAGCCTATAGCTATTTAAGTAAAATATAAGGTTTTGTATAAGTCTCCTTCCCTAACACCTCACTTACATGGTGTTAAAATTTGTCATATCCTTTGTCATATAGGATCATCACCAGTGGATGAATTGGGCAATAAATTTTTCCTATCTATGCAATTTCCCTTGCATCAGTGTAGTGCCTGATACACTGTAAAACCTTAATACACATTTATTGAATGAATGAAAAGACCTGAATTAGACAGATCTCCAAATTTCAGGATTTTGTGATCTTATCACTTAATGGTCCTAACTCCAAGATGACCAGGATGGTGACATAAACAAAGTATAGAAGACATAGGAGCAGATGATACAATGCAAAAACGGAAAGTTGATTATGATTTTTTCTCTTCTCTTACAGAGTGCCTTCTAAGTCCTCTATCCAAATGTGATAGTTTTGCATTTGTAAAGAGCAAATTAAGTGAGCACTGTCTCACATATCCCCCCACACTCTGCTTCCTCGTCCCCTCAAACCCTGAGTCCCTGATTAGCACATAGATTTGGAGCGCAGTGGGGCCAGATCCATCCTCTTCTCTCGTATGTTCAAAATACAAACACCTTGCCTCACTTTTGCAAATCTCTATGACCTTTTCCCTCCTGACTCCTCCCCAGCAAACATCTCATACATCTTATCCTTTATTAGCTGCAATTAGGCAATCACCTTTTTGTCCTGTTTCTGTTTACCTCTAAAATCAGTTCTACCCTGATGACTCAGTTCATCTTAGAAATACCTTCCCTCCAGCTGAGCAGCAGTGTGCTTATTAGTGATGGGAGGACAGTTGAAGAACACCAGCCACCAAGTGCTTCAAGAACCCAGAGGCACCCTGCTGAGGAGCCGGGCAAAAGCAATGAGACTGGAAAGTGAAGGCAGATGTCACATCTTGGGGGAAAACACAAGAGCTTTATTTTATTAAAAAACTTCACAAACTGAATTGGAATCACAAGTATACTTTCAGCAGGAAACTGGCCAGATTTTAAACCAATACCTAGTGTATGACTTCATTATGAATATGGATATGCCATGGACTCCTTATGCTAGACATCTTATTTAAAAGGATTCCTATGTGTTTAAATATTACCAACATGCATGTTCCCATTTAGATGATGTTTCATCATAAATCAATATAAAGATTCAAAAATTCTGAAAGAAGGCAAATTTGGCTATCCAAAGAAAAGATTCCAACTGACCACCCTATGGTGACAAGAGACAATAAAAAATTGGGGTAAACTTCCTTAGAAAGTTTTTCACCAAAAATCCATCTGACAACTAAAGCAATTAGCCAGATGGAACTCTGGAACTCCACATGGGGAGGCGACTTCACACTGATGGGGATTCTGAGTGACAGCGAGTCTCCTGAGCTGCTCTGCGCCACCATCACTGTCCTGTACATGTTGGCCCTGACCAGCAACAGCCTGCTGCTCCTGGTCATCACGGCGGACGCCCGGCTCCACGTGCCCATGTACCTCCTGCTCGGGCAGCTCTCGCTCATGGACCTGCTCTTCACATCTGTTGTCACCCCCAAGACCCTGGTGGACTTTCTGCGCAGTGAAAACACCATCTCCTTTGGGGGCTGTGCCACTCAGATGTTTCTGGCTCTGACGCTGGGTAGTGCCGAGGACCTGCTGCTGGCCTTCATGGCCTATGACAGGTATGTGGCCATTTGTCACCCCCTGAACTACATGGTCCTCATGAGGCCGAGTGTGTGCTGGTTCATGGTGGCCACATCCTGGGTCCTGGCGTCCCTGAGTGCTCTAGGACATACATTATATACCATGCACTTTCCTTTCTGCAAATCCCGGAAGATCACTCACCTGCTGTGTGAGATCCCACCGCTACTGAAGTTGGCCTGTGCAGATACCTCCAGATATGAGCTCCTGGTGTATGTGACAGGCGTGATATTCCTTTTGCTCCCTCTTTCTGTCATCATTGCCTCTTACACACTCATCCTCTTCACTGTGCTGCGCATGCCCTCAAACAAGGGGAGACCGAAAGCCCTTGTCACCTGCTTGTCCCACCTGACCGTGGTTGGCATGTTCTATGGGGCTGCCACATTCATGTATGTTCTGCCCAGTTCCCTCCACAGCCCCAAGCAGGACAATATCATCTCTGTTTTCTACACTATCGTTACCCCAGCCCTAAACCCCCTCATCTACAGCCTGAGAAATAAGGAGGTCATGGGGGCCTTGAGGAGGGTTCTGGGGAAATACTTCCTCCCGACACAGACCTGACAAAATTACCAAGTAGATATGGCTGGGGACTATGTTTCAATTTCATTATTAGGCAGCAGTGAGGAATACAGTAGTTGTAGCTGGCAAAACAATAGCTTCTTAATATCAAAGGAGACCTGCTCTCCTGTGACCGATTTCGTAGACAATTCACAGAGAAGAACATCGTTAGGGGGTATATTGGGCTTCATGTTTATTAGGCAAATGATTGTTTGAAGAATTAGTTGAGAAAAAGAATAGTTTTGCAACTGTATTTGTAGTCCAGATTTAAAGAGCAATCCACATTGACTACATAGAGACAACAATTATGTTGAAATAGTGGTATGTTGCCTGATACTAAAATTTAAATTTAAATGGAGAAATGAGTAAAATAGAATGTGAAAGTATTAAGATATGAAGTGAAGATTAGAGATAGGATAACACTGAGAGATATTAGTTGTACATATTGTTTGAAATAAAAAAAAATTACTCTTGAAGTGACTAGATGTGTTTATGTCTATAGAAAAGGAGGGATAAAATATATACTTCATTTTCTGACGAGTTTAGATACACTTAATCTTTATCATTTGATTTATTGGTGTGGGAACATTTATAACAAAAGCTGGGAACTTAAATCTGTTAAGAAGCTCCAAAATACCTGGTTTAGATAATTGGGGTTATTGTTTATGACAGTACTGTGTGAAAACTCAGAAATGCTTTTTTCTCTTTACTGAGACAATCTCAAATTGCTTAATCTAGAAAGCTAGACCAGGATCTAAAAGCTAAAGTTAATATACAAAACTAAATCAAATTCATTATAAAACCTGAGAAAGTTCAGAAATTTAGAAAGAAACAAAACCACTTGTACAGTCTTCCTTTCATTTTTTGTTGCTCTTCTATGTATTCTGTCCAATTGTTATGCACATGTTGAATAAGTCTTGCTGTTTTTGTCTTTTAAAATCTGATAAACCTTCTGTCTTACTAAAAGGGGACTTTTAGGGTAAGATTGAGGTACAGTGAGGGAGGGAGTCAGACTGCTTCCCTTTTATTGTCTTTGCATCTTTGGACAATATATATATTACTTTTTTACATTTTTTACATTTTATTTTATTTATTTATTTTTTTTAATAGAGGCATGTTTTATTTATTTGTTTGTTTGTTTTTTGTTTATACATGCACTGGGTACAGTCAGAAGCGCGGGAGGGTGAGAGAATTCACCAGAGCCAGAGCGGGGAGCAGAGCAGGCAGAAGGACCGAAGTACACTGCTGAGGGGAGCAGCGGGCAGCAGGAGAGGTCTGCGCACCATGTGGGACCCTCCTCCTGTGGCCGGGGAGCAGCAGGGGATCGAACCGGCGCCGCATAGGCCGCGGGCAGCTTCGCAACCCAGCACTCAACCGCTGCGCCACCGGGGAGGCCCACATTTTTTTATTTTTATATTCCCCACACAATTGCACCCCCATTTATTTTGATCCCAATCCCTCCTTTCCCCTTCCTTTTCCCCCCAATATTGTGTCTCTGGTTTATAGTTGTTTGTTGATTTTGATTATTTCTTATAATTATTCTTTATTTGGACACTATATTAAACTCTGTGCCTCAAGTGGTGATGAGGACAGGACTCTTGATGATCTCATGTTTGGGGAGGTTGAGTAAGATAACAAATAGTAGGGATTGGGATTGGAACTTGACACATAACGCTTAAAACATGTTATTACATGAATAAATATGAAATATTCTTGACAAACTTAATTTGAAGTGATCTTATAATACCCCATGAGATAGGTTAGGCCTCTGCACTATACCTAAGCATTTGGTCACACTGAGTTTTGGTCCCTCAATATTCTTAAATGAGGATCTGATTTAATCTTAGGTCAGATTTCTAGAAGTGGAATTACTAGGATATAGGCAAAGAAAAGATTTTAAATTCTTGTTATAAAGAGAAATTGTTTTTGAGAAAGTTTGAAACACCTTGTGTTCTGGCTAACTTTATGTGGGAGTGCCTATGTCACTGCACTACTTCTGATTCTACTGTATATGGACTGCCTTTGAAAATAAAACAGGGCCTCCCTGGTGGTGCAAGGGGTTAAGCGTCATCACTATGAAGTTATCTGTAGCTATCCCTGGTTCACCAGGGAGGTGAACCACATGGCACAGCAGACCTCTTCTGTCTGGCCTGCTGCTCCCCTCAGCAGTGTATATCAGTCCATCTACCTGTTCTGCTCCCCCCTCTGTCTCTGGTGAATTCTCTCAGCCCGCCCACCTCCTCCTCTGGCCTGTACCCCAGCTCTTGTATGCATAAATAAATAAATATTTTTAAAAAAGAAAACTGATAAAACATATCAGATATTTTCATCTACATTGCTTATTCTGTATATTCCTAATGATTTTTGTAGGTTTTTTTTTTTATAAATTAAGGTCAAGATATAGCAATATTTATTTTTGGTTTATTATTTAGTTGTATGGAAGGATTTGTCAGGTAGGGAAGTGTTAAAATATAGTAACATGTTCACCTTTTCCTTGTATTTTTCAGGTAATGATACCCTTACAAGTCCCATTTTAGGGCTGAAAATGTTTACATACATTTCTTTCAGATTTGTATAACAATTTCACAAGCAATATTTAACTTTTCTTATCTCTCTGCAGTTTATCTTGTATGATGTGTGAGGCTTTTTTTACTGTGTTTCCAAGTTTCTAATTGTCCCATTAATGCTCTTAATAAGCTGTCTATTTTATTTATTTATTCACTTATGATTCATTCACTTAATTGCTTATTCAGTTTTGCAATTGCAAAATTGTCTTTTAAATATAGCAATAGAGAGCATATCAGGGCTAGCTGTTTAGTTTCAGAGGACTAGAACTAGTCTAGGGTTCTCTCCTCCCCTAATATTTCTTACCAACTTTTCCTTGGATTTTATCACCATCTACTCTAAGTGTCCACTAAATGTCAAAAAAAAAAAAATTGGTATATTCATTGTGAGTGTATTTAACTCATAAACTGATTTAGAAACCAGCATTTTCCAGTACTCAGTCTTACCTTTGAGGAGCAAATTATCCTACAGCACCACCCTCATACAATCTGTTTGTTCCTCCTGAAAATACCATTTCACACCTTCAGCTGATGGCCTTACATCATACATCACTGAGGCAAGAGAATAGTCATGTAGGACTTCCTCATTGTCAATTACCAAATTTACCAGCACACCTGCACACAGCTTTTAATCTTTTAAAAGAGCCAATCAGAGGACTAAATCTTCCATAGTGATCTTGATACCTAATTCTTACTTTTTTTAGAGAAATTGGTCTTAGAATTACCTTCTTTGCATCATCTCCCTCTCTACTGGAATGTTTACTATAGATTTCACACATGCTCTAATACGGCCATCTTAAAAAACCCTTTCTTGAAAACACATTCTCCTCAAATTACTAAAACATTTCTCTGTGCAAATTACATTAAAAGATGAGTCTATACCCGTAGTTGCCACTGTGACTCCTGACACTGTAACTAAGCTCCCTATCCCATCTACAAGCCCCCCTCCCAGCACACACCCCCCCATCCCTCCCCCAATGCTGCAGTTGTGCTTGTTAAAGCAGAGATTTAGGACTGATTTGTGTGACAAAGAATGATGGTTTATATAATTAATAAAATAGTAAATGCCAATTTTAATATCATTACCTATGCATGACCAGGCAATGATATTTGTAATCCACAAATGTCAAAAAAATTTTAAATATTTTTTAAATACTTCCAACATTGCTAACTAGACAGGAATTTTCACTAATATTATTAGTCTCCAGCTGTGTGTGTGTGTGTGTGTGCGTGTGTGTTGTGTTGGTGTGTATTTCCCTAGATGACTTTTTCTGCCTTGACTGTATCATTTTCTTTACCTATGTAAATAATCCTGTGTACTTCCCAAAACTCTTCATTTTTACTTTAAATGCTAATTAGGAAGATTTGGAATCTTCAGTCAATAGAGTAACACTGGGAATTCAATTACCATGAAAAACAATTAGGCACTTTCTCGTAACCCTAAGCATACACTTACCAACTGAGCATGTTCATTCCAAGGTGGTAGATGAACAATTTATGTTCATTCAAAATACTTTACCTGAATGTTTATAATGACTGACTTCATAATCAACAAAAATTGGAAACAATACAAATGTCCTTCAACTGGTGAGTGGATTAACAAATTTTGATACATTTATACAAGTGGAAGTACTCAATAATAAATAGGAAAAAAATATTAATTGATGTAAGAATACAGAAGAATCTCAAACATTATGTCAAGTAAAAAAGGGCAGACTCAACCCCTATGTTTATAGCAGCACTGTTTACAATAGCTAAGCTTTGGAAACAGCCCAAATGCCCAAAAATAGATGACTGGATCAAGAAGATGTGGTACATATATACCATGGAATATTACTCAGCATTCAAAAAAGATAAACACATGCAATTTGCAGCAACATGGATGGCGCTGGAAGGGATCATGCTCAGCGAAATAAGCCAGAAAGAAAAAGAAAAATACCGGAGGGTCTCACTCATAGCAGGAATCTAGAAAACTTAAATAAGGGACCAGGAAAATGAATAACTATAAGAAAGTGAAAATCAAAATCAACAAAAAACTATGAACCAGAGACACTTTATGGGAGGTAGGGGGCGGGTGGGGAGGGATTGGGGTCAAAATAAGGGGGTTGCAATTGTATGGGGAATATAAAAATAAAAATAAAAAAGGGCAGACTCAAATGTATGCTACTATTTATAGGAAATTCTGGAAAAGATAAAAATAGTAGCAGCAATAAATATATTAGACAATAGGCAGGACTTGGGTAAGAAGAGGAGATGATTATAAAAAGGCATCAGAAAATTTGGGGGATTGATGAAATTTGTATATCTTGATTTAGATGGTGGTTACATGACTATATCTGTTAAAACTTGCAGAACAGTGTGCTAAAACAGGCAAATTTTGCTTATGTAAATTGTACCCTAATAAAAAATTTAACAATAGGAAATAATAATTTTAAATAAATGAATGTAAGGCTTTTAAAATTCTGCCTCTACAGCCATGTTTAAATGCCCATAAAAAAATCCCCATTTCCATCTTGTTATTTTTTTCTCAAGAATTTTATTTTTCTCTCTTAAAACTCATATATATTTGCTCTTGTTAATTGAATTACACTTCCCCACTCATTTACTGAACCACCTTCTGTGCTCACCATTGCTCCCTGCATTCCTACCCCCTGGCAATCACATTTCTACTTGCTAAAATTATTTTGGGGGGGTTGGCAGTAAATTCATTTTGTTTTTAATTTTCCTGACTCTTTAATGAGGGCTTAGCTAGGCATAGAATTCTAGGCGTGCAGTTATATTCTCTCAGCAATTTGAAGGTATTTTTCCCTTGTCCTTGGACCATTAAAAGGTCCACTCTTCGATTCCAGGAGCAAAGACTATGCATTGGAGC